GTAATTGTGTGCACATCGCAATCATAGATGGATTCGGAATCTGACGATTGTAATGATGATGATGTGGCGCAAATTAGCACATGGGAATGATCACTAACAACGTACAGATGTGTGGGTGGCTTTGAGATTTTGACATCACTAAACTCTTCTACTGCTGAGCGCTCACGCTTTGCATCAACATAACCTTTCTATGCACGAAGTGGTATGCAGATGGAGCTGATATCCGTAGTTTGACAATTGACGTCGCAGACACCATGTTCGTCATCACGAGTTGTTGCATTAAATATCAGCCGTCGCTGGCTTGCATCTTCATTGGCGTTGTGCAGACTGAACTGGTTCGTGACATGAGTACTGGCTGTCAGGTGTGACAAATCACCACAATTGGCACTTGCCACATCATTGTGTCTTTGTTTTCTTGACAATACTGGTACAAAAAAATCGGGCTTGATTTGACAGTGCCATGTACTGCTAATGTATTGACAGGAGACTGGATTATCTTGAGTGCTCAACACAAGCAATGCAGAAGAGAGAGGATGTTAAGAGTAGGAAGAAGAGTGGTTTAATGCCAGCAACCTGTGTAGGCTGGTGGGGGAGTAGAGCTGTGGTTCATAGAGCTTCCATGCGCACGGAAATCAGCCATTCGTGTGTTGATGGGCAAAGATATTTGAGACTTTGAGAGAAGTGAGTGCGTATTTCAATACACGGGGTGGGATATCACATTCCTTGTGATTTATGGTAAATTATACGTATCCATGAAAAATATTTATAGGTAACTATTTTGGAAAACATTAAGCATTTTCCAGTCTGCATTTGATTGATTAAGTTGAATCAGAAGGTACACGTATCCCGTTCCGAATTTTAATACCTTTTATAAAATTTTCTGTCGATAATAAAGAAGTAAAATTTTAAGGCTCCTATTTAACCAACTTTTAGTTGCCACCGTTACTGTTTATTTGCAAGTAGGTGTCGTAGTTGCGGTGATATAAATGCACTCAAGATTTCAGTTATATTGATAACATTACGACAAGGAGAAGCATTACAATAATAGAGTATCTTATCGGTATTCCGCATTAATACTCACTGTGCGCATAAATATATGTGATTTCTTGGATTTAACTAATGTTTATTTTTGCACTTTACGTCTCCATCAATTTTTGTAGCTTATTGTCAACCCCCAAGCCTACTGACCTCGGATATTAAGGAATTCATTTTACTTTTATATGCAGTAAAATGTAAAGTTTGTTTTAGCTGAAGCCATTATGGTACTACGGGACGCTAAGGCACTTTGACAATGAGATACAGGACCTCCTTAGATATTTGGGGGCATTCGTTATTACGAGAATCCTCAATGTTGCATCGAGTAATCGGCACTCAATATGTCGAGTAACCCTGTCTAGATAGGCGAAGCCTCTTTCACAAGAGCTGTCACGCGTCAAATTTATTTAATGCTAAAAGAAGTTTTGTCATTTAGTGCCACTTCTCTATCTATGATTGTATGGTGACTTTGTGCATAAAATTCTGATTAGCCTTTAGTTTTTTCTATTAACAATTTTCGTGATTGGGATAAAAAACTCTACATCTACATTCTAGTGAAATGTTCACCAGAAGGTTCAGAACGGGTTCCTCTTACAAATGCAAAATTTTAGTAATTAGTGGGTTAATTATATAACACTATCTTTTCTCTGTAGCTTTATTACCTACCTCGCAGATTTGGATTTTGCTTTTTGACCAATGCATAGACTATCTTTACTACTTCGAGACGCTTTTTGATACCTTCACAGATATTCATGACTTTTCACCTTCTTTCATTTGTACTTGATTGGGGTGTAAATCTCGCCAATTTTGCAGAACATTTTGCAGAACAATTGTTGACTGTTCACCCTTTGTCCATGCAGACTGTATGGAAAGGCGAAAAATCTTCAAAGAAACTCAAGGTTTATGCCTTTGCTGCCTGTTAATGTGACCTTGTAGAAGTTTGTAAAGTGAGATTTGACTATTTTGATTAATAAAACAATAGATTTGCTAAACAAACCAGCCGCTTTTGACAGTATTGCTGTAATGATTAATTTGCTTTGCCACTCGAGAAGGGGGATTCCAAATACCACTAATCTGGAGCTATATAAGATCAGCAAACTACCGTGTTTGATAGATTAGGAAGGTATGTTGGATTTATTGCTTCTGTTGGAGAATGCAGCAAGATGCAACTTAAACAGATGCAACATTAGTGATCAGTACGTGGTTGCAGTCTTTCAAATTATAATTTCTCCTTTATTACAAACAGATGGCTTAGCCTACCGGCATTAGGAATCGAATTATTTCTACCCACTGCAATTAAGACGAGAAAAAGGACGAATTCAAGACTAGAGCAGAGGATCAAGGTGAATGAGAATAAAGAGCACTGGAAACAAAATACACTTGAGATTGTAATTACGCATTTAAAAAAAAAGACAAAAATCGGTTTGGTGGTGGGGCTAGTTATTATGGGAATAAATTAGGAAAACCTCTGACTCGTATTACCGAGATTTACCCAACGCATATAAGCATCGATGGCCTGGAAATTGCAAGTGATAATTCAAAATTTTTGAAGAAAATATTGAGAAACTGAAGTCAGCAAAAAAAGGTAGAGGTTAAAAAATTTAACTTCTGTATAAGCAGCAGTGCAACAAAGGCTTCACTTGACCTGTCAATGTTTATTCAAGACTAGTGTCAAGCTGTAGGTGAAACTTAAGCCGCCACCATAGACTACCACACGTCAAAGATTGCACTTTCCAAAGGATTCATTTAAAGTGACTCCCAAGTGACTGTAGTCTAAAAACATATTGTAGAAAATAAAAAAAAAAACTTTTAAAGCTGTAAATTATCTGGAAAGCTTGCAATGATAGCATGTATCCATCCACATGACCAAGCGAAAGGAACGTGTGAATGATAACCGCTTGCAAGTTGATGGGTGAAATTGCGGTACACAACTCCGCACTGTGATATTGTTTCCGTGTCATCGTGCTACCCTTTGAGTGACAACGATAAGCAAGATGAACCGTTTACATTACTCAAACCCCTAATAAATATCTTTTAGGTTTCGTCATTAAGCGCATCGTGGTACAGTAATTATGGGAGTGACAAGTGTAGAGAAGAAACCAAAAGTGGTGGGCTGTTATTAAGCTGAGGTGAATTGTGTGCGCTTATTCAGTATGTAAAATCTGTTTAATCCCATATACAGCTTGTAATGATTGTGCTTCACATAAGGCATAACTAATATAATAGGGAGAATTTAAAGGAGCTTCTGAGATGTTAAAATTATTCCTACTTATCTTCGATGCACAACAGCCGTTTAGTATGCATAACAGAGTCTTTATGAATTATTCCCATAAGTGTAAGAGTCTAAGTGACGCCATAAATAAAGATAAAAAACGCAAATTACTTCTTATATTTGCTTTCGTATTTTGGAGACTTGAGGAGTGGCATGGATACACGAGTTGGTGGTGGCTCAGGTACTCGAAGAGATAGCAAACTGAGGGAAAAAGCAAAAAGTGCTTGATGAGATCATTTCCAAAGTAAAATAAGATTTCACACATATGGTAGAAATTTACCGATTCTCGGCTTTTTTTGCCGATCCTCAAACGTTATTTTGTGTAGCAAGATGGAAAGCTAAATTCAGCTGCCGATGGCAAATCCCAGATCAGAGAATGGAATAAAAGAAATAAGTCTTCATGCTTTAACTTTGTCGAGCACACACAGCTAATTCTCTGCTCTTCGCTGGTCGAATTAATGACTTAACTTAAGTTGATCTGTACAGAGTGCGCTGGTTGTCCGTTTTTTTCGTCCAGCTTGATCATGCAGCTAGAACTTCACGACACGAACCATTCCAAAGCCCCAGTGATGTTACCTAATTTACTCTTTCGGCAGTTGCTCGTGTTTTTCAGAAACTACTCCACTTTTGAATAGCATAGCATCTTATCAGTAGTATATCTCACCAAAATGAAAAATAGGCTCTTCTAAAATGCTAATAGCATGTTTATGCTGTTTTCACTGTTTATCTTGGAATAGCTCTTGCAGTCTTTTAAAGAATAAAGTTGTACGCGCAATGAAGTATCGTTGGATAGTGTAATATGCGACAAGAGAGAGCAAAGCACCGTAGCGCATTCAAAGTTGCACCACTTGCCTTCACTGCGATTGCACATTATTGCCGGCATAAAAGTGAGTCAGGCTTCCACTTCAAGCCGTAAGGTGTATCAACAGATGTCATTTCAGTCATTTTATGCTGCACTCGGCTACTCATAGCAAGCTCAAAGCAGTGCAATTATCATTTGTAAATTTAAGTGGTAAATGAGCACCGGTTGTATGAATAACTTATTACCATTCAACACAAATCACCGGTGGTATCGGCAGGTGAGATACTAGTAAGTAATGTTCCACACTATAATTCCTCCATCTTGCATACAAGCGTGGCTTCAATCTTCATGCCTCGTTCTGTTCACCCCTTTTCAAATGAAAGCTGAAAATATTTCCCTTATGGGAACTTTACATTGTACCGAAATCAAAGGACTTATCGATACCTGATGTATTGCTAAAAATCTTCTATTACCTTCCAACAAAGAGGTACAGCTGAATGTTAAGAAGGCAATGCAAAATGCTCTACAAAATCAGGACAATAACATTCTTATATTGATGTATTTCACTCAGGAGCAAAAACTACTATACGTTGGTTTACCAGTTGAACTTATAATAATTTTGTAGACCTAAATCACTACCTCTTTTCACTAACTCAAATTGTGCAAAAAATACACGCAATTTCTTGTTGCTAAAGTGAAAATTTACACAAGACATACGGGACGTATTGCGAAATTGTATGTTCTACGGGTAAATACCTGCACATGAATTAGACATCTTTCAAATGAAGGTAGTTTATTTAGAATTCATTGATGTAAAAAACTAATGCCACTGAGAGAAATACAAACAGCAAAGTGTATCAAAGTATAAAAGACAAAAAAAAGAGAGGCAGGTTATTTGAGCTTTCGCACTCTACAATAACGTTCCTTATCTTCAGGAGTGAGCTTTCTCTCCACACCCTTGACTACTTGTGGATCTTTGTGCCATGTGTTGACGTGAATTTTGTATACATTCTCCGGATGCATAATACCACAGTAGAGGCGGTCCAAAGCTGTCGAGACGTAAATGGGTGAGTGGTTGAAAAACATCTTGGGATGCACCAGTAGACTGTTGAAAGTCTGTTCGTTTGTCCAGAGTGCAATGGGTGGTGGAATGTAACCACGCCTAAAATATCCCAAATTTCACTCATCACGGATTGGTTATGGATAGATGTATTTAAGTCATCTACGAAGAGAGATAGTAGTTGGCACTGCAAAACTGGCAAGTGGGTCCTATTATTAGTAGGTAATTCACGTGCTACGTGCCAGTCTACCTCATACGCAAGAAAGATGGTAGTGGACAGTGGTAGTCCTTCCATGAAACAAGGTGCTGCAATGAACAAAATTTCTTGTGAAGGTGGTCATTCATCCGAAATTGTTGGACACCGATTTGCGCCTACAGAAGATCTCAAGCAGGGCTGGCCTAATCAACCGCTCAGCTGCTGAGCGGCAGGATATTCATTTGGTATAGACGCAAGTTTGTCAGTGACGATTCCAGTCACTGTGACTGGGTAGCACATAGAACATCTCATTTGGGCCGATTGACATTGAACCTCTTGTCGTTAAAATCCCATCGATACAAACATTCCAAAACATTGGCATTTTGAAAAGCTGGGGAACAATGAGTACAAAAGCAAAATTTCTCTTGAAGTTAACCTTAGCGAGCTAAAATGGATCACAGTGTTACAATTGCCGAAATCTGGATATCCATAAGATCATTTTGATCAGCATTCTAGCAAAGATGACGAAGTGGGGCGGCCTTTCTCTGTTTTACGCATTCCAGATGTTGTTTAAATGCTAAGACTAGTTTCTATACAAATGTGGAGACTGATTATGCGGAGAAGGAAATGCCTTTTAATGTGTTAAAGCCGGTTGCTTTCTTTTGTCAACACAAAAGTCCTTGTGGAACTGGAGACGTAAATGTTGAAAACTTATTCGTTTGTAAATGACGCAGACCGGACACTTGGTGGCCAACACTAGCTGACCCAAATTCACTCCAACTCGCCAGCCGGTGAGGGTGACTCAACACTCATGCCTTCTTCTGCTCGAAAAAATGCACAATCGTCGCCGAGCCGATATACTACTCAAATAGAGTCAGATGAGAATATAGACAGTCTACTCTTTTTAAACAAGTTTAGAAAAATATGACTAAATTAGTTTAGCAATTAAGGTTATTTGTAATTGAACAAGAAGAATGAAGTTGAAGATACTGGCCATTCAGCGACATTTCACCGCATGAAGTACAAATTGAAGCATTTAGCACAGGTTTTATTGCACACAAAATACAAGCCTCTACCCCAGTCGATGAAATGTGAGCAGTGTGGTTGATTTTGCCATAAGCTGGCTCCATTGTACTCACCTCTAACCAGCTGCCTTTACCGTGCACAAATGGAGAGCTCTAAACCATCTCGTGAGTGACTTTTACTTCAGTCAGAATACTTAAACCCAGGGATGACCTCGCCTACGTTGGCTTTAGGCAAAACAGGTCAGTTGAGAGCACCTAAGGCGCCTAGAGTGAGCCAAACATTTTATTAATGTAAAAACGACTCACTTTTTATAGGGTTGGATACCACTAATCTGGAAGTCCTGATCTACCTCGAGGATATGCAAGAGTCGGCCGGATGGAATGGGCTCCAGGAACGATTCTATCATCAGATCGACAGTATACTGATTCACTTTTACTGGGTCCACTAGAGATTCAGGATAGAGGCTACGAGGATAAGGACGCGGAAGAATTAGCAGAGTCTTGCATTGTGGATTCTTCCAACGCATGAGAGAGCGTTTATTCGGCACCAGGCGATCGATTTTCGACTCACCTTCAAAGAAAAGTCAGCAAACAACTTGTACGTAAAATTGCTAATAGGGTAACAAAATACTTCTCCAATTTAAAATGGGTTAGGATTTGGCGTCTTAGCGGACAGTCAAATAAATTTTGTGATAAAGGCACATACGTTACATCAACGGTGTAGAAAACAGGAATAATCAGGATTTTTTGTTGGCATAAACGCGACAATTAACTGCAAGTAAATCATTACTCATTCCAATTTGTCTAAGTAACTCATTCTTGACTTACTTGTTTATTCAACACTATGAAACTTAATAAATTTATTAGAATATATAAAAAGAACAAAAGTTAGCATTCCAAATTTCCATCCTATCAGATATTTGGCATTGACAACTATCAAGCTTCCCCAAGTAAAAGCCATAACAGACAGTTGCTACGATCCATTTTGCTATCTAACGACATTTTCTAGCAAAGAATAAGGCTGATTACCAACCTGCAGGTCTGTCCTTGAGGTAGGGTTTGAATTTCAACCCGATTGGAGTCTTGAAGGCGTCGTTCATGTCCGGATCGATGAGTTTACTCCCTGTTTCTTCGTCCAGGTCGATTATCTTTGGTAGATTGCAACAACAAGGTAAGTTGCGCAGAAACATACGGCATATTTCTTTTCCTAGAGCGAGGAATTTTGGCTTTTTGTAGACACAAAGGGCGTGAAAAATGCGAGCTCGCAGATCCTCTATGGTGCGACTTGACATACGGCCGACACAGTCGTAGCCGTAGGAGACAGAGCACAGGTAGTCCCGGGTGGCCTTTGCGATATTTTTGCTACAAATCCAAATGGAGAAATGCATACCTTTCTGTGAGATTGGAGATTTGTAATTCTATTTAACTCAATATATGGGATAGCAGCATCTAGTTGTCGATTGAATTTGAACTTTAATGACCTCTAACGGCTTGGGTATCACTCTCGTCTTGCTACACTGCACACTTTATGTGAAAAAATCAACACAATAATGAGATATAATGCAAGGAGAGGTGAGATCACTAACAACAACCCACATTTGAGTTTCATATGTTTTGGTATGATTCAACGTAATATGATGCAGCACGACGTAATTTTGTATGAGTGCGTTGGAAATGAGTTTACTTCCCTACAGCTGCAGCAAAAAAAGTTAGCAAATACCATAAATGCTATGTAGGGTAATTTTTTCCTTGTTTTGAGTCCATATTTGGGCATTTACACTTTAGTGATGGCACTTGTTTGTTGCAAAGGTACCCGTCTTCATAGTAAAGGGTCAAGTTTAAGGAGCTACAGATTTAAGCGCTAATGCAACCATCTCACGTGATACTGCCTTAGCCACGCATCACAACTTATAATAACTATTTGCTAGGACAGATGTTGTGCTAACCTTTACATTAAGCTCTCCTGCAATTGCTTCACTTATTAGCCTTATGTTTTCACCAGTCTTCTCTGCTATTCCACAGACAATTAGGCACTCAAAGTGCTTTGTACCTCCCATTTGGGTGAAATTGAAATTAACTCATTTGACGTATAAAGTTTTTTAAAATAGAAAAAACCGCCTCATAATTAGCATCTGTCACCAGCAATCGAATTTTTTTTCTCACACCTGCCACTAATACCCATTCTACAGTAGTAAAGCCTACCATCTTTAGTGAGGTCTAATTTTAGGTTTCATAGCCATCTTCGATACTAGCTGAATAACACGGTCAAACTCGTTTAATTGCTACGCCTTTCTGTTCTGATTACTCAACGTCCTCAACAAAGAAAAAACGGCTTATTTATTCCACAATTCTTCAATAACTCAATCATGAACGAAGAGGACTTACTTCATTAGACCACCGGGTGGACTAAAGGCGTAGGCCTTTAATTCAGGATAATGTGGCTTCAGAAGAACAGACATGAGTGAAACCAGCCCAGCACCCAGACTGTGTCCACAAATAACGACAGGGTAGCGAGGTCTAAGACGCCTGGCCGACTCAAATAGCTGCTGTTCCAGAATGTGTTGAACTATGGTTCGCGCCGTACGACACATTCCAGCATGTCCAATCATTTGTTTTTTGGGCGGGAGATTGCGGTCCTCGTCTCGCAGTGGCTCGCCAGCTCCCACCATATCAACCAGGACATCGTCGCCTGACAGGGTGCCCCGCACAATTAAAACGATTGCCTCAGTAAGGTCGTCAATCACTAGCATAATTGATGCACTGTACAACTAAAAAGTTAACAAAAATTTTCCAGCTTCTGACCTTGCTACTTCAATAACTCCGCGCGTTGTGGAGATTACAAGTCTATATTCCATTCCACACTTGTAGGACCATGTGCAGAAATTATCTTCGAGAAAGTTATTTAAAAGGGCAAGGTTCAGTAAAATCATTTATTAAGCCTCATTAGAATTAAACACGGTTGGAAAAATATTGTTTCTAATTAAGAGTTTTAATTCCACGGCCAAAAATTACTGCATCTCTCAAAGTTTTTTTTGCTTACAAACTTCAATGGTAGAAATCGCTGTACTTAGACACCCTCAGAGCTATTTTAGAAAAATTCTACGGTACGGGTGGCATAAAACCACCTTTCGAATGATCATAAAACCATCATAGAAATTTGGATAAAAAGAAAAGAAACTATTTCTCAGAAAAATAACTTAAAAATGCGGAGCCTACGATGAATACTAGACACGTGACCAATATAATCCTGGACCAGAACATCAGTGGTAAAATTTTGTTGCCTTGTTCTCTAAAAAAATCTGGATTCATGCTGTCGAAGATGCCTTGCTTTTTACGTTTCTATCCTTAGTGCTCTGTAAAAATCGCATAAATGACACAAACTGCAACGTCATATGTGACGCACGTGACAAATGAAAAATCCTACTTCTTCTCATAGAAATCAACGCTGAGACTAGTAAATTCGGTGGGCGGCAGTGCAACTATAAGAGAGGAAAGCGGTTCTATAAAAAAGCAAAACCGGTGGTTTTTGCTCAAAAGTTCAAAATTTGCTCTGGTGTAAACGCACATCACAACGTTATAATTATGCTGTTACAAAATGACCAGCCCTATTAGGAGTGACAAGTGATTAAGCTATTAGTACAAACGGTGAGGTGAATGAATATTCAAGTGCTCGAACCTTGTTAACAAGTTCAAAGTAGAGGATGTCTTTAGGCTCCAACTGAGCCATTTCTATAAAGGCTGCCAGATAGAGATTTCGACCAGCACAACAGCAACCCCCAGGACTGTGGATACCGTTCTCAAGGTCGACCTCCTTCCTTGTTGTGGTCGGGTTGCTGAAAAGTAAGATTTTAATTTCTCATAACCCAGAGAAGCAACAAACTTAGCGAATGCTTAAGTCAAACTACTGTTTACTGGGATTGTTCTTAGAAAAATTTGGATTGATAGTTCTACTGCATCAAGGGGATCAAAGTGGGAAGAAACGCTCAATTTTAGGTTCTAATATAAGGAAAACGCTAGTACGGAATACAGCGAGGCAAACTTTTAAAATTACAACTTATAAGAATAAATTTCGCTTTTTTAACTATGATATAATTATTTTAAAAATAAATGCAACGTAATGCGCGAATGATGCATAATTTTGACAAATTTAAAATAAGGCTTGCAGCGTGCAGAAAGCCCTTTAAATCAGATCCAATTAAACGCAAAAGAATGTTTCAAAAATAAAGAACAAAGAAAATTAAGACAACTTTTCTTCACATTTCATATTTTGTGCACAAGGTTTTTAATAAACAGAAAACGAAGCAAAGGGAAGATGAGAAAACCATAATAATTTGTTGTGGGATGCAAGTTGCAAAATAAATGGGGTGTCACCATTACCTGCAAGAAAGTTTTTGGCACAACCGATTTATCGCGACGCAGTCGCATGGATTGTCGGCGTAGTAGTAGACCCACCCATAGGAAGCATTTACAAAGTGTGAATACCGTCGCAGTCGTGAAATATGCAGCCACTCCTTCTCCAATTTATCAAAGGGGTTCTTTAGCTTCGGATCAAGCTTAATTTAAAATACCAAATAATAACAAAGTCAATTTAATTCGGCCACATATGTCACAAAATCCAGCTTAAATTTTACTATTATTTACTGCTTTGAAAATCGGGCAAATCATTTTAGAGCAAGTCTAATAAGTGTTGGTAGAGGAAACATCTTTCGTAAAATTGTGCTACCTTCAAATTAAACATAAGGTTAAAGAGCTGGAATATTAAAAGTGAAAGGATCTTTACTGGAGCTGCCAAATCTTTTAGAGCAGGATCGGTTTGTTCAAGGATGTATTCGGCAGGAACACGACCATGACCACCGATCCACTTGTCTGACTGCCATCGAAGAAGCAGTAAACCAATCGCAACATCTGACTTTGTCAAGTCAAGATCCTACAAATCATAACAATATTGGAACAGATAATCATGACCTCTAAAAACACTCTGTTCCTTTTCTATCAAAAGATAAATAGTTATAGTCCCACTACTTAATAAATACATGCCAAAACTAGTTTTCCTTTTTTTTAGAAAACACAGATTTTATGATTTATTCGGCCATGAAACTAAAGTCCCATAAGTAGACATGATTTGATTGTAAATAACACTTAAATTTAAAGCTTTGCACAAAATTTTACCATAAAAAGGTCAACAAAAATGGCTGAAACTGCATTGAGTGCATCTTTTTTTTCGTCACTCCCATTATCTTCGGGTGATTCGAGCTTTTTGGCAAGAACGTTTTGCCAATGCGAATTTGCCATCATTCGCATATCTTTTACTAGCTCGCGCTTTTCCTTTTCCGTCTTCTTGTCTGTTTCATCGTACAGGAATGTCTCGTAAAACTCATATTTAAGTTTTCCGTCCTTGTCATAGTGCCGTATCCAATCAATGATTTCACAAACAATCGTAAATATCAGAATGGAACACCAGCACACCACAGCAACAAAACTGGAAAAAGTATCCGCCTGCAAGAAAATTAAGGGCTGCAATTAGTTTTAGAGACAAGTATCAAAAAATTACAATAGTTGTACAAGTTTGGCAAAAATGTTCTATAATCATATAAAATTGGAATATACTTTGTCCCTATTGGTTTGGAAGCAAGGTACATTTAAATTCTTACGCCAGAAAGATCTTGACGAATAAAGGTAATTCCCAAAATCGCAAGGATATAAGAAATTAGCTCCAAAGTCATTACGATAAAGTGTACGAAAATTAGAGTTCCTATGTATTTCCTCTTGTATGCTTCCATGACACCGCCTCGACCGCTGCCAATAGCAACCACGATGAGGAGGAAGATATGTAAGATACACAACACGATGGCAACATAAAGAAAACCCTACAAGCAGTAAAATGGTAAAGCACAAAAATTACAAGAAAAAGATCCTGTGCACCACTGAGCAAATCATGATTTGAAAAAAGAAACGCGCACGTAACCACAATCCTAATGTCAGACAGGGTAAAGGAAACGATCATACAGTAAGGTCCTTAACGAAGCTTGAACAATGCTTGATATGACAAATTCATCCTCTGAACGCTTCCATGTGCGTTTAAAGATTTTTAAATGTGGCATTTTACAGAATTATCACGAAAACAGGCATTTATAGTTGAAAGAGGGTGGCGTTTGAGGTCATATATTTAATCCTAATAGAAGAACATACTCAAACAAACTTTAAACCCACCTTCATATTATTATTTTGCAAAAAAAGTTAGGATCATAAAGCTGATCTACATAAAAATTTGTAGGTTTGTTTGCATGTAGACCACTGAAAACTGATAATTTTTTTTGCAAACCACGAATTCACCAAAAAAATTTACAAAATTTTCAAGATTTGGAAGTTTTATTTAGTGTCTGTGTAAATAAAGTTTGTTCTGCAGAAAAATCTATTCTTCCAAAGATAGTTCAAAAACAACAATCAGTGCTCTGTGGGACAATCGCAAATGAGTCAACAACACTATAAGTGTTTGTTAAAGCTTCAAAATAAATATTTACATCTACTTATTGTGCAATTAATAAAGCTAATATCAACTTTGCTGCTCTCGGTTGCAACATACCTACCCCTCTCACTTATAAAAAATAAAGCGCTCAGAGAAATAATTTTTTTAGATATTTCGGTACGCATAAGAGAGCAAATTAGCATGCATGGTAGTTCGAATTTCGTTAGGGTTTATTTGGATCTGTGCAAGCTCCTAAACTTATTCCGCATTGCCGCATTTTAGGATTAGTTGCTCGTTACTTCGTATAACATAAACACGTGTCAATTTTTACTAAGAATATATAGAGGGTCAATTATATGGCAGGAATTGAAAATATTTTAAAGTTTGCCAATGACATATTGAGGTCAGCAAATGGATTGGAAGCTGGTGTCTGTTTTAGCCCGAATGGTTATTCTTTTACAGAATGTACGATTCCTATGTTTTTGAAGAGGATAAACTGTAAGTGCTTTGTTTTTCGGGAACATGTCCAAACAGTGGACTCGTTCCTTAGTCTTATTCATGCTTTTAATGGACATGCTTTGGTACCCCACTCTAATTTATATTAGATGCCAATTTTGGTTTGTAAAATGCCTTTCTTGTTTTCCCAGCGGCATGATGGTTACAAGCGGTTCAATTACTCTAAAGAAAGATCCCCAAAACTTGGTTGGGATCAGCATTGGTGGTGGTGCTCCATACTGTCCGTGTCTTTACGTCGTCCAAGTGTTCGACAATACACCTGCTTCTCGTGATGGCACGATTCAAGCTGGGGACGAAATAACCGGTGTTGGTGGAGTTCGCGTCAAGGGCAAAGGCAAAGTCGAGGTTGCTCGTCTCATTCAAAGCTTCCCTGTACGTTGCTAAATGTATTTATTGCTCCTGGGTCGGTTCTTTCTCATGGTATTTTTTGCTAATTTTGGAATTGCTGTAAGTATTAATAAAACTGAAACATTTTAGGATTCAGTTACCATCTATTTCAATAAGCTCCACGCCGACCCAAAACAAGGCAAAACTTTGGATATTGGTAACTTAGTAAAATCATCGTTTACTACTTCTTTATTTCATCAAAGTAACTAACATTGTCCACTAGTTTTGAAGAAGCTGAAGCACAAAATGGTGGAGAATATGGAGGCCAGTACAGCCGATGCTTTGGGTTTGAGTAGGGCTATCCTTGTCAACGGTGCGTTCGCATTCTCTACGGTTACATAAACTCCATTCTTCCAATTAGCCAGGGCATTTTGGTTGCATTTGCAGACAGCCTGGTGAAGAAGATGGATGAATTGAATCGCACAGCTTCGATGTTTAACGGTTTGGTTCAGCACACGCGCTCCCTCGTTCGGGCTATCTTTCAATTGTCCAAAGTTCATAGAAGTGAGTCTGAAGATTTCTTCAGTACTTTTCGCTTCCTTAATTACCTTAACGCTGTCTACCGATCTGGTTTCGCTCCTCCGTCCCGATACGTTTACCTTTCGTACACTATTCATTCGCGCATTTATCCATTTACACATCCGCCTTTTTTTCCCATCCATATGCGCGATCATTAATTCATGCTAGATATATCTCAATCCATCTTGGTCCTATTAACCCTACTTAGGTCATCCATTCCTCATCTTTCAGCATTCGGGGAAATCATGTCTCAAATCGGTGTTAAGGAGCCGCAAGTTCGCGCCGGTCAGGCCTTCACCCATTTCGGGGAGGCTCATCGAGAACTGGAGAAATTCGCCATCGATACACTTAAGCAATTGCAGCCGGTATATTCCATTAGTATTTTAATTGTGTTTTATCACTATCGATGCTCTTTATTAAGTATCCAGCCGGGGTATCGCACTCAAAGTGTAACTGGGGGTAGCGCCATATATTGTATTGGCCTTGTTGCATAACCGTTACACCTGTTACGGGGACAGCCGGTAGTTCATCATCCTGTACTTTAATCAGACTGTTGCAGAAAATGTAGTTTTTGCTTTCTTCTAGCTAGTTGAAGGTGCTATTTTAAAAGCTATCAAATTTCTTACTCATCCAGAGTTTATGGAGGTCCAGCTAGAAACTTTGGAGATTCCGCTTGCAGTATCCCACGACACTCTGTCTACTTTGATCATATGAACTTTATGTGCTCAAATTGTTCCTGTGCGGTGTTTAGTAGAAATGAACATTCTTTTTGTCCTTAAAGGGTTTGAATCCTTGTCTCATTGCACTAGGAATCAAGCGAGATACGAGTAATAAGCATTAATAGTGCCTACCGATTGGCTCTAAGTATTTACTATATGAAGGTATTGGAATAGCTAAATTGTATTTGAATCTTGAAAATGTATTCTGCGCCATCATTTAGCATAGTTTAATGTTCTAATTTTGCAGGTAATTTTGCTAATGTGAGAAAAAGGTCGAGGATTTGACCTCGCACTTAGTTTTTACCGTTTTTATCGACAACGATGGTTTTTTGAGACTCGGATGAACAGTCAAAAATGAAACTACCCATCCGTTGGGGTTTTAATGGGTGAAGTCTGGTCTGGGATTTAGCTTTACCCAGAACATCATCCTTTGACCTCTCAGGCCGACTGTCAAAATTAGCCACCACAAGTGCATTTGCACATTCGTGGCCTATCTGAAAGAAGTCGCGACTGCCTTGATTTGCATTTCTCAAGTACACGTCTTCTGAGCAGAGTATTTGTGTAATAAATACGGAACGACTGTCTCATGGCCACTTCCATCTCCGTTTCGTTTGCAGTCCGATCCATGCGTGGCTTTCTTTTATCTGCAAGTAAACATGCTATTTCCGTGTGATGTATTTCACACTTCTACTGCTTTTGTTCTTGTTCTGTAGCACTATGCACCAGCCGAGTTTTTCCCCACCCCTCCTAATGTAAGTAAAGTGTACTATTTCACCACAATTTTGGATGGACCATGTTTTGAATAAGAGTAGTGCACCCATGGTGTCTGTTTCATGTGATCCTCTGTTTATGCAACTAAAAGCTTGGCTTCAAGAACATTCAGTATTTTGAGTGTGCATCTAGCCGAGATTGAAAGGTATGATGGAATGGACTGCAGAAATAAGAAATCATTGGACAATTTTTTCGAGTGGTAATAGAATATCAGTCTTTTTGAAGCACTTTATAATAAATCCTGAGTTGTACTAATTGAATGTGGCGCCGCTACCAGAAATAATGACGTTTGGGGGTGTAGGGCGCAGAAATGCCCCAAAGTGAGCATGACTGACATGCCTGTTAAGTTTTTTTTTAAGTGATGGTGTAAAAAGACTCCATAGGCTGCGTGATTTTGTGATACAAGTTGACAGGTTAGATGCAAGCAAAGAAAAAAACATTGTCAAATTCTCTTTGTAAATGGAATGGCTTTTATTAAATTTCTGCGTGACATTGACACAATGCCCAAAAGTTGGTGAAACCATTCACATTTCCTTACATTCCTGTTTCATTTTTAAAAGAAGGTTTTCCATATGTATACGAGATTTAAATGTTTTCATTTCACAATGATATCTAGTTTTTATGTGTTAAATCTAGTCATTGCTAGTGTAAAGTAGCTCAATAAGTTCGGGCCCCTCATATGATAAAAGCTAAATTACTGCAGAATCATTCTTTAAGTATTTCATTCATTGAGCTAAATACCGTCAAAAAACTGAGGCTTGCGAATTCCACTTCTGTAGTACGTTTTGGCTCTAGAAGCAAGAAACCTAATCCCAGCTGTCTCGGTTCCTAGTTTACTATTATTTCTCAACTGTCTACGCCGTTTGCCTTGTAATGAGTTGGTGCTAAGAAGTGGTGATAATCGCCTGGAGAAATAACATATTTTAAAGTGTGATATGAACTGTGGGGTTCCGAATCTTCTTGGAAGAATAGGGCTTTCTTTACACTGGTCAATTCACTATTTCTTACTGTATTTTTTCCCTAAAGTTCTCAATTTAGCATCCTTGAGGGATGAGTTAGTGCCTCACAATTGTGGAATGGCGAGTGGTCTAAGCATCACCAGCAGAATAACAAATGGAAGCCAACATGAAATTTTTTGGTCACGTATTTTATTTCCTTCGGAAATGAAATACTAAATGCTTTATTTTTATGTTTACAAATGCACTTAATTTTGTGTGACATTGGTTCTAGACACGACACAATTGCAAACCATATCAGCTAAAAATAACAAGGATGCGTCTGAAGATTTCTGTTTGAATGTTTCACATCTCACATTACCAAGACACTATCATTCTTACATGTGCTTTTCCAGTGAAAGATCGTACCTTTGTTAAGTATTCGTTGTTTCAATAATTTATCCGTCACAAGTTTTGAATCATTTTTCGAAAAACGATTATATATATGAATGGCGTTTTTTTATGGCTCGCAAATAATCGTCCGAATTTCATGTCAGTTGTATTTTGTGATATTGTTCCTGGCACCTGCTCGTTCATCCAACATTCCAGCCTTATCAGCGGATTTCTTCTTTTAAGCATGCAAACCCTGTACTTGTCATCCCTTTTTTTCGCCAAAGGGGCCAGTTTTTAATATGCTCCATTGCTTTCCGTTTCAAACTATGCCTCAGCAGTAGGCTTCTTGTGTTGGACAGTGGCCACTTAACCCATTGAATTAATTTGCGCTGAACCCATTAAAAATTCCATACATCATTTCCAGGTAAAAATTTAACACTTAAGAGTAGATTTCTATTGACAAATGTGTTGCTTTTCTTTATTCCAGATTGTCTCAGACTTGAACACATTCCTCACCAAAGCCATTCCAGATACCAAGCTCACTGTGAAGCGCTATTTGGACGTGAAATTCGAGTACTTGGTGCGTTTACTGTACAAACGCCTATGCCTTCTTCTGCCTCCTTGAAAGTAGTTCCTTTTTGTCCTTCCCTGCCTTCCAGTCGTACTGCTTGAAAGTGAAGGAGATGGATGATGAGGAGTATACCTTCAACGCACTGCAGGAGCCGCTCTACCGCGTGGAGACGGGCAACTACGAGTATCGTCTAATTCTGCGCTGTCGACAGGATGCGAGGTCGCGATTTGCCAAACTGCGCAGCGATGTCCTCGTCAAACTCGAGCTTCTTGATAATAAACACGGTGAGGCTATGGGGCTTTCTACTGGCCCCTTGTCAGTAAATGGTTTTTGTGAATTGTGAGGGCGTATGGCAATGGACAGCGCCTCTCCACTTTAGGCACCAGGCACATATTTCCTCAATTTATTCAATGCTTTCATGCCAACCGTTTGTAAGCCTAAAATGGGTCAAATTTGGAACCAAATTATTCCTCTGCATCGGTTCGATAGTTTATTTTACCATATATGCGTTTGTTCAGTGTGTTTCATATATTTCCAGCAGTTGTACCTAAACGGAGGTCTTTTGTGCTTCAATCTGTCAAATGTATGAATTTTCTTAATTTGAAAAGATAATTTCCCTTGTTTGGATATACTTTTGGCAAAAAGTGTTCTACTTTCCTGTTGATTGTCAGAAAGAATCACCAAAACTGATTTGGATTAAGAAGGATATCATAACTCAATGAAATCATTAGCGTTGTAAAGGAAAGTGAGATAGGTATTTTGTTCAAAAAATATGAAACCTTCATGCATAAGACTTTCTGGAAATTCGTCACTGCACAGCTTTTTGTGCTTATTTTCTATTTTGTCAAGGATTCTGAAGTGTCTAACTGAAAATCCGTTTGGAGTGGTTGTGCAAGGGTTACTGTGGTTGTTATCACTTTAAACGCTTTGAGACTAAACCCCCAATGCTAAAACTTTTGGTTATGGTGCCAATTCTCGTTACCACTTAGGAATAATACATATTCTGCAAAAGGTCGCCACTACCCTATTTTTCATTCTCATTTTCGTTAAAATCATTTCTAATAGTTGAAGTAAGGCTCTGTAATTCGTCTATTTAGGTTAATGAAATTTCTGCATCGGATATATGCTGAAAGCGTTAATAAAGTAGCCTGGTCTTGATTTTAATTACTAAAACTGGGGGAAAAGTACTGCGAACGGAAAAAAATAAATATGTTCCAATTTTCCACTTAGTCATTTCTGTTGCTTTTTGGTCGCTGTTGTCGCAAAGTATTACAATTTCAAGTACCATTATCCTTTTGGAGAGGAAATGTATTGAAGCGTATGAAGATAAGGCAATCTTTTATCATTCGTCACGTCTATATGAATCTAAAGATTTTGGTGGATGCTATAAAGACGAAATGGAATGTGCTTAGGAAAACTGAAAATGGAGGTAATGAATGCTAAAAGGAAGGTTTTTGGATAAATTGAATAAGATCATGAATATGCGACGTTAAAACCTGACGCGTGTTAGTATGAAACGAATAGGTAATCTCCAAAGTCGATGTATCACCTCCGATTTCATCATTGCATTGTTCTAGGTTGTATAACCATTTAACGAGAGAGAGATAGAGCATGTTCTTACTTCCTGATGCAAAACTTCCAACCTTCTACGTGCTTCCACAACTCTGGTATTAATTTCAGTGTGGATTTGTGTATCTACGTCTCGGTTCCTATAATAAAGTGATTTAAAAAATTTTGACCTTCTTTTTCAAAATTGTCCTTTATTTAAATGGAGCCTCCCACTATTCCTTGCTGATCGAATGTGTAAAGCTGTATTGGTACCCAGTTTGCAATCTTGCAATAGATTATCCTTTGACTATCCAGAATTAGGCTTTGCACGCGCTAAATTTCCACATCAACGACTGTTGTGAGGTGGGCTGGTAAATGGCGTAGCTGAGTTCGCCACGAACGTTAAGGCATACTGCCGTCTTCGAGGAATTTATCCCATTTAGCTGTTTTACTGCTGAGCGGCTTTGCATCTTATCTTCCGTAAATATGAGTAAATATCAGCAGGTTTGCATTGTACCCTTTTTTTTTCTCAATAAACCTCGTTCACCACCACATGGTGTTCCATACACCTACGGACGGAGTGTGGACTCGACTGATCCACGACATGTGTGCTAGCTATTTGCAATATGACACAGCGCTTACTACTGCGTACGGTACAGCTACGTCTTCTTATGGTTGTAGAAGTGAGGATTTTTGTTTAACTTGAGCATCCCCATACTTGAAGGTATGCTTTGATTAATTGCTTTATGGCCCTAAGTCCACTAAAATCTATCAAGCACACACAATCACCTTTATAGTGCAAGACACGGTGATTCAACTGCAACGTTTTGTCTCCGCAATGGCCACTTATCACGAGAACTGCTACGAAGTGATGAAGGGCGCAACTATCTTTCCGCTGGAAATGGACCTTTCTCGAGACGCCTTCGCGTATAAGTCAGAGCTTATCAACACCGGTGAAATTGAGGATGATGATGATGACGATGAAATCGACGTCTCCAATGACAACGACGTTGACGTTGAGGCTCTTGCTGACTTGGTATCAACTGAGAGCAATCTAGTCAACGTTAGTTTAGCTGAGAACGTGGACACGTTGCTGGATCTTGGAGAGAGTGCTGAGAAGACCCCAAAGCCTCACGTAGAGCAGAAGGATGTGTTTGACTTGATATCAATCGAATAGAACTCTCCCCATAATCTGGTGTCATGTAATGACTTCCTTTTGTCCTTTTTTCCATATTATCCCTCCTCTTGTGGTTATTATGGTATCCCCACTATCATTTATGCTTATTTTTTGCCTTTATCATGGTGCATTCCATTTCTAGACCTTGTTCCTTTCTGCAAGTATATTTTGTATTTAGTATACCGACTTGCTTTGCGCTCTATTTTACTGTCTTGTGTGAAATTTGTAGGGTTTCCATTTTTATACATTAATCTCTAAGCAATAATTTTTGAGCATTTCTGTCTGTGTATTTTTAGAGGCGGTTGGATATAGAATTGTTGAATTGAGTTGGTTAACACCGAGTATTCCTAGCGGTAGTGCAGTCGATCTGACTTGCTAAAGCCACATCTTTCCAGGGATTCTGTAGCCAAGGCAACTCTGGAACTACCCCAGTTTCTAACCAAAAATAGGTAGGTGACTTCGCCTTGCCCACGAACTCGATGTTTCTGTTCCGCATAATTTAAATTTCAATTAAATCAAATTTCATTCTCCGTTATTGTTAAAGTGGATTTGTAGATGTGGGAGGGGAATTGCTGGTGTTGGTGAACGGAAT